CTCTCCGGGTCATCTGGATGAAATCTGCACTTCATCCAACTCCTCAATGGTCGGTTGGTCAGGCTCTATTCGAAGGGGGGGATGAGACTGTAATTGCTATGAAGAGTTTCCCTTGCCTTTGAAGGCGTTTGTAGCAGTCTTGGAAGCTTTAGGGTCACCTTGATCTCCCGTACTCCCCACTTGGTTGGAAACTGATTGTCTGGTGGAAAGTAGATGGGAATGCCGCATGTGTGGATCCAAGGGCGGCCCAAAATGACTTTGTATGGGGATGGACAGTCGATCACCAGGAAGACTGTCTGTTTGTTTACTCCGCTGGCATAGATAGGAAGGATGATCTCCCCGATAGTGTATTTCTGCTCCGAGCTGAATCCAACAGCAATGTCAGTCGCCTGTTGATATTTGCTTCCTCCAGCCCCATTGCTTTGACTGCTTCGAGGAATAGGATATTTGCTGACGAACCTCCATCTACGAACACTCTTTTCACTAGGATGTTGGCTATTTGCAGGGAGAGGACTAAGCATCGTGGGGAGGAGCGGCTAGGGTGACGGTTCATCATCCTCGAACTGATACATTGATGGGAGTATGACTCGAGACCGGGTGGATGGACTGGACTTCATGATGGTTAGTTCTAGCATGCCGCTTTGTTGATGAGTAACTTACCCACTGATTTCTGATCCTCGGCGATTAGCGAGCGAAAACCCTTTGGTGGGGTTTCGCGGAGGGGGCGACATTGTTGGAGCTTTTCTGGCTAATGGTGTCTTGCCCTTGTCAGTGAGTAGATCACGGAGATGTCCCCTCTCAGAAGTGCGGCAACCAAGCCGCAAAGCGATGCAGTCTACGATGTTGTGCCGTGATCGTTGTGGAACTCACACCATTGGTTGTGTCTCTCCTTGCATTGGGATTGAGCTTACAGGCCACTTGACTGCGGATCCCATTCCTTTCATTATGCCACGACCTGGGTTGGTTCGACGTTGAGACTGTACTCTGGTATTTTGAACTGGTTCGATCCGAAATGCCTGTTATATTTCTCAAGGGTTAGCGATCATATGGTCTTCTGGTTCTGACCATATGGTGCGGGGGGTTGGTAGCTGTGTTCTACCGGTCTAGGCTTTGGCTTCTTGTCGTTCCGCTTGGTTCGTATCTGGAATAGGCAGTCAGTTCATCTCATCTTCCTCCCACCTTATCTGGATAACGGCTCGGGCCAGAGCGTCTTCCATTGTGGTGCACCCAGCTTTGTAAGCTCTTGTATAGTTCTCATCTGGGAGGAGGCTTTTGAAAGCGTCCACAGTAGTCTTGGGGTTACAGGAGGGAATATAGATCTTTTTTTGTTGAATTGCTAACTACTTCTAATGGTTCCCCCTTTCGTTGGTATATTCGGTACAAGTCAGCCGACAACTTCTCTAGCTTCTTGTTGCTGGCGAACTGTTCCACAAAGGTGTCAATAAGCTGAGCGAATGAATCGATGGATCTGTTCGGGAGTTCGTGTACCATTGGAGAGCCGGGCCAGACAAACTAGAACTGAAACTTTTGCACATGCAGCGCTTTAAGCGGTCGGGGTATGGAAACAGTGAACATCCGCTGCTTGTATGAGGCTATGTGGTTGTCCGGGTCAGGGACCGTCATATGTTTCATGTTGGGGATAGTGAATTTCTGGGGCATGCAGCCGGCGATCTCACCGCAAAGGGTGAATCGGCGTAGCAATTCGGTCTGCTTTTCTTGGTTGGGATTGGCATTCCTGGGATGCGCCTCATTACTGCCTCAACGTCGGCTAGTCTCTTGGCCAGTAATTGTTCCACAGGGGAAGGGGATACTATGGGTCATCCGTCTTACCGGGTCTGGTACGTTCCATGGGGTCATCCCTGGGGGGTGGTCTAATAGATCAGTCCGTCTGCGCTCCTTGGTAGCATGTGTCCTCGTTCATCCCTTCGGTTGGATGACTCCCATTGTCACTGTTCTGTTGTTCTTCCCTACATGAACGGTCAGGGAGGGTTGTCTGGTAGTCGTTCGGTCTTTCGGGATGGACGGGCTCAAGAGCTGGAGTTGGTTTGGTTGGCCGTTCAACCCGCGGGGTGAGCGGGCCGGATGGGGTTTGTGTTTAGGTTGATTGGAGGGTGAAGTGGTATGGTGGGGATGGGTTGATCTTCGGGTTCTCTATTGTGGATCGTTTTGATCATGAGACTGGGATGGGCGACTGGACCGCGCACTGTTGTATCTTTATCTCCGTTAGTCAGAACGGAGTAGTCGAGCGCCAGTGCGTTAAGCTGACGCGGCCTTTACCGGAATCCGAGGGTCGATGCTCTGGTGTAGAGAGGGGTTGCATGGATGGATAGTGGTTCGGAACCGATGGGGGGTGTTTGGTCGGGCAGAAATCGAGTCATAGAATCGGCTTACTTCTCTTTTAGCGACTAGTTTCGACCCTGATGGATGTGTTTTCGGCTTCCAGTGCAGCCACCTTGTCCAAGTTTTGTTGCATGAGAGCGGTCAACGCCTCCAGTCTGGCTCGAGGCCTGAGTTAACGTCGTCTGGATTGTCAGCCATGGAATTATCCTCCCCGTAGCAAGGTTCGTCACGCCGAATGATTGCTAGAGGCCCCACGGTGGGCGCCAAACTGTAGACGTAAAAATCTACCTATACGGAAAGGGGGGTCTGATCCTGTGAGGTTGAGGCCACTAGCGACTGCTGTACCTGCACACGTAGAGAAACACACGCGTGAAGCGAACGGGAAACACCAGGGTGGTGGTTGCCATGGCACTCCGACGCTCAAGTCAGCAAGGCTAAAAGGCTAATAAAGTGAGGGCTAGGGAATGAGAGATTACGGAAGTCTAGTCGGGGACCGTGACTTCGGCGAAATAGCGAAACTCTCAGTAAAGAGTCTAGGGTGTGAAGGTGTAATGTCGATGTCTTTGTGAGAGGGCTGGCCTCTGTATATAGTGGTCGTCTGGGTCTCCCAATCTGGTAGGAGCAGGAGTCTAGTGTGACTCTGATGCAAATCCTAGAAGAATTAGGGTCGTGGTGAGTTGTCTTACCAGTGTCCAAATAGGAAGGTGACCTGATTAGGAGAATAACTGAGTAGGAAAGTGATCTGGAATAGGAAGGCGACCTTGAATAGGAGGTTGATTAGGAGGAGAGGAAAGTACTCTGAAGGCGTGGGCTCTGGATTCATCCATGGACCTAGGAAATTGACTAGGTTAAGAGGCTCGTGCCCGGGGTTTGGGCTGGCTATACCTTATGTCAAAATAGGACTAATCTGGCTTGGGCCTTCGTAGGACTGGGCCCGGTCTTTCTTACTAGTGGTCCTATTTTCTATTTGGGCCAATGACGATTTTGGCCCTAACAAATCACAAATCAATTTCTTTGATGAAATCCACAAACCGTCAATCAAATCTCTTCCACAAATCCCACAAATTAATCAATCAGTTTCTTCAACAAACCCCAAACCGATTACCCCAAATCTATTTTTTCATCCTTCTTAACAACCAAAACACAAATAGATTTCTTCAATCAAACCAAAGATGCGTTTATTGAACACCTAGATACCATCCAAAGAGTGCAGAGATCTGACCAGCCAAAGAGTGCAGGTGACTGGCCAAAACTGGTTGCAGCAAGGCCCTTCGCCGGCTAACTAGCTTTGGCGACCAAAACACCTTTACCAATGAGGGCCAAAGAAAGAAGAAGATAGACAAGAGGAGGAGAGAAGAAGAGAGGAGGGAAAGGAGAAGGAATGATGCAGGAAGAAGATTGAAATGAGATTTGAAGGATGCGAAATGAAGATTGAAAGAATGATGCAGACAGATTGAAATGAGATTAAATGCGAATGCAAAATGAAGATTGAAGATTCGAATACAAAATTGCAAATGCGAATATGGGTCTTTTTATTTGGGGTTTACTTTTAGAATTGGGGAATAAGAATTCACCCAATTTTGGGTTAAAACTGTTTGCTACAGTAACCCCAGTTCAACAGCGGGTCAAACTGGGTGAACTGTTATCCCCGGTTGTTCACCTTGATCAGCCTGGCTTAATAGCCTATTCCCGATCCAACCGACTAGGTTGGACTGAGTTTTAAAACACATAGATACATAACAGTTTTATACAACAAAATATGACAAAAATGATTAACTGATTTTAAATTTAAAATAAACTTTTACTTAATTATCTTTTATCACGTCATGTTGTATGAGAAATTTTGTATAAAAAAATTTTATTTGTAGTATTACTCTATATATATGTGTGTGTGAAAATATTATTTCCACCTCACTTAAATCTTGACCTTCATTTTTGTTTAATCTAAGGGACACAAACTAATGTCAAATTTTGTGTGAAAAAATAGCGGCTGTTGAATGGACTGTAGATTTAATAGTTAAGATTAATGGGTTGTAAAAAGTAGTGTAATTAATGCACGAACCAAAAACAACGAGTATCTTTTGCTTCTTCCTAGGGCTGTAAACGAGCCGAGTCGAGTCGAATATCACCCTAAACAAGCCTGATTCGGTTAAGCATTAAACGAGTTCAAGCCAAGTCACGAGTCAGTCGAGTCAGGAAAATTCGACTCATGACTCGACTCGTTTATAATCGAGTCGGCTCATGACTCAACTCAAACTCGTTTGACTCGACTTGAAAAGCTCAATTATGACTCAATTAACTCGAGCTCGAACTAGTTCAATTATGGCTCGATTACAGCTCGTTTAGCCCATTTTTTATATAACCTGCAGATCTTGTTTTATACAAATCAAGTTCAATTTTTGGTAAATTTGCATCCAAATCACATCCAAATTAACACATCAACAATGTATTACACAACAAATTATAAAATCCTAAAACTTTAATTGGAGTTTGGGTTAATTTGTAATATTTTAAAACTTTTACATGTCAAATTACAAAACAGACCTAAAACTTTTATTTTTTGCAGAAAAGACCTAAACGAGCCACTATTGACTGCAAGCTGAATCGAGCCGAGCCGGGGTAGACTCAAATTCAGCTCGATACCTAATTCGAGTCTTATTCGAGCTGGCTCGGCTTGATTATAAATGAGCCGAGTTTGAGTATTTAACGAGCCGACTTGCAAGCTGCTTGCTCGGTTGACACCCCTACTTCTTCCAGCAAAATTTTCAGGAACAAGATACCAAGAGCAAAAGCTGTTAACCGCCAAAACTGGAAAGGAAAAGACAAATGTAAAAAACTTAACATTTTGATATAGAGAGATTATCAAAGTGATTCAAGGTCAATGCATCAGTAACATTTCATTAATCTTTGCTCAGCCTCGTACACAAACTTTACCATAATGATACAGAGAGATTACCAAGTAACTCAAGGTCAATACATCGGCAACATTTTATTGAAGAATGAAATCAATCAGAAAGGTTAGAGAGAAAAGAGCAAAACAAATGGCATAAAGTTTTGCAGAAAGAGATTTGAGATGCTGTCACTTGCCTCTGGATGTGGCTGCAATTTGCATAATTTGCATGGTGTCACTTCTATAATCAGCTTTCAATATCTTCAAGTGTTCATGATTCACGTAGAACAGTTGCCCCCTCATAGAGATTGTGTTCCAAAATGATCTGGTGTACTTCTATGTGCAATTAGCCACACCATCCACAGAAAAGGACAGGCAAAAGCCTTTTCCTATAGACAATGAGAGTTGAAGTAGAAACAATATCTCGAATTGACATCTTATATTCCATCAAGTCCCTCAACTAACATTGAATATGTTTGAGGATGAACCTGACAACCCTTCTCTTCCATGATGCTTAGCAGTTCTGAACATCCATCACCAAAGCCCTTCTTAAGCAAGCCTTCAATGAAAATTTTCCAAGCTACTTCATCATTATTATATCCGCAATCAAGCAAGTTATGAAAAACCGCTTTTGCCTTCTCTATGTTCCGTTCATCATATAGCCCGCAAAGAAGCAGCTTATAGGACTCCAGATGTGGTAAGTGACCATGTTCGATCATAGCATCCACCAGTCTCACAGCTTCCTCGTACATTCCCAATCCACAGCAACACTTGAGAAGAGAATTATAAATATCTTCATTCGGAGATATTCCTCTTTCTCTCATGTAATCAAATAACCTCTGGGCTACAGCCAAGCGCTCTACTTTGCAAAGTCCTATGATGAGCTTTCCAAATGTGTTAACATTAGGTGCACATCCATGTTTGAACATTGTCTCAAACAGCTCCAATGCAGTGTCAAATTCCATCATCTTCCACACATCAGCAGCTTCAACAAACGTGACATTTGAAACCAAATAAAGCCCCATTACATCACTGTTTTCCTTCATCCACTTTTTCTTTGAGAGATGGCTGATTAAAAAGGCATATGTATGATGAGAAGGCTCGCAACCAGCATCAAACATGCGCTTGAGAACATCAAACGCAGAATATACCAGTCCCAAATTGGCATATGCACGAATCAGTAAAGTATAAGTCACTGAATCTGGCACAATTCCTTCTTCATCCATTTTGACCATCAAGTCCTCAGCCTCGTTTAATTTCCCTGTGCTGCAATATGCCTGAATAAATGCAGTATATGTGAATACATCAGGTTTATATCCAGAGGAAACCATTTGGTCTAGAAGCCTATGAGCATGGTCAAAGTCTCCATCCTTCAATAATCCTTCAATGAGAATTGTGTAAGTGCGAACCGTGGGATGCACTCCCATCTTCACCATCTTTTCTTCCAACGACAATGCTTCCTTCACCTTCTTCTCTTTGCATAACCCATGTATCAAGGAATTAAAAGTGTATGAGTTTGGAAAACAGTCATCAATAAGCATTCTCTCAAGCAAAGAATGCGCATTTTCTATTTTCCCAGCCTTACAGTACCCGTCAATCAAAGCAGTATATATCACTTCATTTGCCTTTATGCCTTTCTCCTTGAGAGACTCAAACATTATATGAGCTTCTTCCAAACTCCCTCTTTTACAAAGAGAGTCTATGAAAACGCTATAAGTCCACTGATTAGGAACTAGACCACACTCTTTCATCAAACCAATCACCCGATAAGCAGTATCAAAATGACCCGCTCTACATTGTCCATGAATTAACAAATTATAGGTAATCAAGCTTGGCGACAACTTGCGCTCAAGCAATTTATTAAGTAGAGCCATTGCCCTGTGTACATCTTTCTTTTTACAGAACCCATAAATCAATTCACCGTATGTCCTAGCATTTGGACTGATATTATTTGACTCCATTAAGCCCAAAATTTCGAATGCAGCCTCCATCAATCCTTCCTTACAATACCCATTAATCATTGCACTATACGAGACCACACTTGGAACCAACCCATTCTCCAGCATCCCATCCAACAACCTCCTTGCATCATCAAGCTTATTCTCTTTACACAAACAATCAATCAACACCGTGTGAGTATGCACATCAGGCTTACACCCTTTCTCAGACATCTCATTAAAAAATCTCAATGCTTCCAATTTCCTACCTAATTTACATAACCCACTAATAATCACCGTGTAAGTTGTCACAGTAGGCCAACAATCATCCTCACTCATTTTCTTAAACAACTTTATAGCCTCGTCAACCTGTTTTGCCTCACAAAGACCATGTATTAGATTTGTATACGAAAACTCATCTCTTCGACAACCCTCTATTGGCATCACCGTAAACACCCTATATGCGCTATCTACGTCCCTTTTCCTACAATGCCCCAATATCAACGACGAAAAAGTAAACGTATTAGGTCTCAAACCCGCCTCCACAATCTTACTCACATACAACTCGGCCTCTAGAACATTTCCCACCTTACAATACCCATTAACCATCGCATTAAAAGTATATATATCGGGAACAATCGTGTTCTTCAACATTACAGAATAAACCCACTTCATTTCATCAACCAAACAAAACTTCGCCAACAACATCAACAATGTATTATAACCCTTAACACGAAGCTTAAACTTAGATTCGCCATCGCCGTCATTTATTTTCCTTACAAAATCTAACGCAACACCAACATCTTCCGCAGAATGACAAGATTTAAACATAAAAGAAGCAATTTTTTCACCCGCCTCAACAAAATTACTCCCAATTAACAAATTTACCAAAGAAAAATACGATTCTACGCTGTGTTTGAACCCAGGCTTCCGCGAAATCCAGAAAGAAAAGTCAAGCGCAACCTGGGGATTCAAGTTCAATTTATAGAGGGAAGAAACATGAGAAGCGGAAATGAAAGGAATGAGCATTGAACAGGACAGGTTCACCTACGTAGTAACGTTTGATACGCATTTCCAACTGTTGTTGATGTCTTTGCCCTCGGGGTCTGAGTTTGTAGGCGCCCTTCCCTGCTTCTTTGATTACTTTTAGGGGCCTTCCCAGGTGGGGCCGAGTTTGCCAGAATTAATCTCCTTGGTGTTTTGGAAGACATTACGAAGGACCCAGTCGCCTATCTTGAAAGTGCGGATCCTCACGCTGCGTTAAATGTCTGGCGGCCTGTTGCTGGTAGACTGCGTTGCAGATGCTCGCTTGTTCCCATAGCTCGTCCATAGTGTCTAGGTTCTGGCAAAGGTTTTGGCTATTTGATTTCGCGTCCCCCACTGGAGCCTGGTGGACGGAACTGATACTTCGGCTAGAATAATTGCTTCTGAACCGTATGTCAGGGAGAAAGGTTGTTTCACCAGTTGATGATCGAGCGTGGTTCGGTATGACCAGAGACTCCGGGTAGCTCATCCGCCCATGCGCCCTTAGCTTTCTGTAATCGCTTCTTCATGTCTACATGATTGTTTTGTTTGACCACTCGGCCTGGCTGTTAGACTGGGGGTACGGGGTGTTGAAAGCTAACTTTATTCCCCACATGTCACAGAAATCCCTGAACCTGAACTAATGAACTGGACCCATTATCGTGACAATCTCCTTTGGTATTCTGAACCTTTGATCACGTTCTTCCAGATGAAAGCTTTTACCTCTCGATCTCTGACTTGAGCGAAGGCTTCGCTTCGATCCACTTGGTGAAGTAGTCTGTCACAGCCACATGAAGACTCGTTGCCCCCGGTGCAGTAGTAGCTTTCCCCACGATGTCCATCTCCCCACTTCATGAATGCCACGGTGTGAATGGAATGGAGTCGTTCTGGTAGGAGGTGTGAGATTGAGGAAACCTCTGACAGCTATCGCATTTCTTGCGTAAGCGTCGATTCGGTGGCGGATAGTCAGCCATAGTACCCCGTGGTGATCACCGGTGAGCAAGACTGTGCCCCTCTGCATGGTTGCCGCATTTGCCATTATGGAGTTTGGCTAGAACACTTTGGCCTCTTCTAGGCTTATGCATTTGAGGTAGGGGCCCGAGAACGACTTTCTGAGGAGTTGGCCCTCATGTAGGGTGAATCTGGCGGCTTTTGCTTTCAATCGGCGTGCTTCGTTCTTGCCAACCGGAGCTCATCGTCTTCCAGGTACTTTACTATCGGGTCATCCAACAGTCGGCTTGTTCAACGCCCATGCTTCTACAGAGACTTGTTAGGTGGCGGTTCCTTCTAGTTGCTTGGCCACTGCATGAATAAGTGGGGATGATGACTGGAGGAACATGGGGTGCTGAGCCAGGTTGGCGAGGGCGTCGGCATGGTTGTTCTCAGCTCTAAGATCTTACTATTGAACTCTTCGAATTCGGCCTGCCAGCTCTTTGACCATGCTCAGATAGGATGTCATTTTTGAATCACTGCTTGGTACGTACCTTGTATGATTGACCATGATTGGAGTCCGACTTCACTTCTAGTCTCTTGGCGCCAATTTCTCTGGCCAAGGTAATTCCAGCTAGGAGGCTTCATATTCGCCTCGTTATTCATGCACTTGAACCCCACCGGACTGCTCGCTGGATGATGTTTGCCTCCCTCTGGTGCGATCATTACTATCCGAGTCCGCTTCCATTGACATTACTCGATCCGTCTACTATGAGGGTCCCACTTTGAGGGTGGTGTGCCATTCATGCATAGTAATTCTCTTTCGCCTGGGTGGTAGCGCTTGGTGTGAAGTCGGCAATAAAGTCTGCCAGTGCCTGGGACTTGACGGCGGTGCGTGGTTGTAGGATACGTCGTCTTCGCTGAGCTCTACCTCTATTGCATGAGTCGGCCTGATAGTTCTCTGGTTTGTGGCAATATTTTCTTTGAGCGGAGGAGGTGATCACAACTATAGGGTGGCACTGAAAATACGGGTCTAAGCTTCTGGGCATGGATGAGATGAGGGCGAGGCAGCTTTTCCGTTGTGCTGTATCGAGTTTCTACGTCCGAGGACGACTTGCTAATGTAGTAACCGGGATGACTGCTTTGTTCCTTGTCTTCCCGATCTAGCACCGCTGATATGGCCGTCTCTGAGACACGCTAGTAAGTGTAAAGCTTCTCCCCGTCCATGGGTTTGGAAACGCTGGGGGGTGGTCAAATACCTCTTCAGCTGTTGTAGGCTTCTTCGCATGAGGGTGTCCAATCGAACTTGTTGGATTTTTTGAGGGCATGAAGAAGAGGTGGCACTTGTCAGCGGACCTGGAGATGAAGCGGCTCAGGGCGACCACGTCTCCTGCAAGGCCTGGACATCTCTGATGTAAGTTGGGGATGGTATGCTGAGGACCACTCTGATCTGTCGGAGTTTTGCTTCTATCCTCCGCTGAGTGACCATATAGCCTAAGAATTTACCTGATGAACGCCGAATGAGCATTTTTCTGGGTTCAGTTTCATGTTGTACTTCCGGAGAACGCAATGCCTGGCTGAGGTGTCAGGTGTTGTTGGCGATCAGGGATTTGACGAGCATGTCATCGATGTACACTTCCGGGTCTTCCCTAAGTGGTCAGAGAACATTTTGTTGACCAGACGTTGGTATGGCTCCGGCATTCTTCAATCCAAACGGCACACTTTGTAACAGTAGGTTCCCCTCTCTGTGATGAAGGCTGTCTTCTCCTGGTCGTCGCATGCATCAAATCTGGTTGTACCTAGAAGGCGTCCCATGAAACTAAGGAGTTCGTGCCCTGCGGTCGCGTCTACCATCATGTCGATATGGAAGGGGAAAGAATTCTTGGGGCAGGCTTTGTTCAGTCAGTGAAGTCGATGCAGACTCTCCACTTCCCGTTCTTTTTCTTACGATTACAACGTTTGCCACCATTCGGGTAGTGAGTGGACCTCTCTGTCATGCCGTTGTTTAGGAGCTTTTCAATCTCTTCATTGACGATCTGTTTTCGCTCAGGTGCGAATTTCCGCCTTTCTGTTTGACTTGCAGGTGATCCAGATCTGCCTTGAGCTGTTGGACCATTGCATCTGGATTGATTCCGTCATGTCGGCATGGGACCAGGCGAAACGTCTTCGTTCCGTTTTAGAAATTCTATCAGCTTCTCTCTTGTCTCGGGTCGAGCGGAGCCTATGTGTGTCTTTCTCTCCGGGTCATCTGGATGAAATCTGCACTTCATCAACTCCTCATGGTCGGGGTCAGGCTCTATTCGAAGGGTTGGATGAGACTGTAATTGCTATGAAGAGTTTCCCTTGCCTTTGAAGGCGTTTTTTGTAGCAGTCCTTGAAGCTTTAGGGTCACCCTTTGATCTCCCGTACTCCCCACTTGGTTGGAAACCTGATTGTCTGGTGGAAGTAGATGGGACTGCCCGCATGTCGTGGATCCAAGGGCGGCCCAAAATGACTTTGTATGGGATGGACAGTCGATCACCAGGAAGACTGTCTGTTTGTTTACCTCCGCTGGCATAGAGAGGAGGATGATCTCCCCGATAGTGTATTTTCTGCTCCGAGCTGAATCCAACTAGCATGTCAGTCGCCTGTTGATATTTGCTTCCTCCAGCCCCATTGCTTTGACTTGCTTCGAGGAATAGGATATTTGCTGACGAACCTCCATCTACGACACTCTTTTCACTAGGATTTGTGGCTATTTGCATGGAGAGGACTAAAGCATCGTGGTGAGGAGCGGCTAGGTGACCGGTTCATCATCCTCGAACTGAATTACTTGATGGGAGTATGACCTCAGACCGGTGGATGGACTGGACTTCATGATGGTTAGTTCTAGCATGCCGCTTTGTTGATGAGTACTTACCCACTGATTTCTGATCCTCCGGGATTAGCGAGCAGAAACCCTTTGGTGTGGTGTCTCGCGGAGGGGGCGACTATTGTTTGGAGCTTTTCTGGCTAAGGTGTTCTTGCCCTTGTCGTGAGTATCACACGGAGATGTCCCCTCTTCAGAAGTGCGGCACCTCAAGCCGCAAAGCGATGCAGTCTACGATGTTGTGCCCGTGATCGTTGTGGAACTCACACCACTTGGTTGTGTCTCTCCTTGCATTGGGATTGAGCTTACCAGGCCACTTGACTGCGGATCCCATTCCTTTCATTATCGCCACGACCTGGGTGTTCCGTTGAGACTGTACTCTGGTATTTTTGAACTGGTTCGTCCGAAATGCCTGTTTCATTTTCTCAAGGGTTAGCGATCAATGGTCTTCTGGTTCTGACCATATTGCGTCGGGGGGTTGGTAGCTGTGTTCTACCGGTCTAGGCTTTGGCTTCTTGTCGTTCCGCCTTGGTTCGTATCTGGAATAGGCACTCAGTTCATCTCATCTTCCTCCCCCTAATCTGGATAACGGTCTCGGGCCAGAGCGTCTTCCATTGTGGTGCAACCCAGCTTTGTAAGCTCTTTGTATAGTTCTCCATCTGGGAGGAGGCCTTTCTGAAAGCGTCCACAGTAGTCTTGGGGTTACAGAGGGAATATAGATCTTCTTTTTGTTGAACTGCTAACATACTCTCTTAATGGTTCCCCCTTTCGTTGGTATATTCGGTACAAGTCAGCCGCAACTTCTCTAGCTTTTGTTGCTGGCGAACTGTTCCACAAAGGTGTCAATAGCTGAGCGAATGAATCGATGGATCTGTTCGGAGGTTCGTGTACCATTGGAGAGCCGGGCCAGACAAACTAGAACTGAAACTTTTGCACGCAGGCTTCTCTAAGCGTCGGGGTATGGAAACAGTGAACATCCGCTGCTTGTATGAGGCTATGTGGTTGTCCGGTCAGTGGTACCGTCATATTGTTTCATGTTGGGGATAGTGAATTTCTGGGCATGTCAGCCAGGGCGATCTCATCCGCAAAGGGTGAATCGGCGTAGCAATTCGGTCTGCTTTTCTTGGTTGGGATTGGCATTCCTGGGATGCGCCTCATTACGTGCCTCAACGTCGGCTAGTCTCTTGGCCAGTAATTGTTCCACAGGGAAGGGGATACTATCGGGTCA